TAATTGGATACCACTCTACGAGATGTTTTTGCATACCTTTCTTCAAATGAAATCAATGCCACGCCTGCAGAATGTAGGTTATCATTTCTTCCAGAATAGATTATGGTTTCTCCTGTACCTGTTGTGGATTGTCCAAACCCTGTCAACCTGCTTTCACTGATTTCAAGAATATGCAGTTTATAGTTCTGCATTTCTTTAATTACTTGGGCGGTTTTGGCCGTTTCAAACATGGTTCTTACATTCTAGAAGCCAATTCTTAATTTTGTTTTAACATCCAGCAGACTTCTTTTCCCATCATGGGCTTCCTTTCGGCTTTCACCCATGTTGTTCATGCTGACAGAGAGACTGTCTCAACACAGCCGGACGTTTAGAGCACTTATTTCCTCTTGAAGTTTCAGTAACGTTGTAGATTTTTTACAGGGCAGAGCTGTCAACACTGCGCCCAACCCCCGAGCCTGGAGGACCGGGAGGACATCTTTAGTCTGGCCTGACACCAGTAACCTGTCCAGCTTGGGTGACCCTGCCAGGAACATACGTTCTCGCCGGCATAGCTCACTAGATCACTGAGGCACTCAAGCTCCCCCACCACTACAAGGTACTGGCCTCTGGGGGGGGGAGGCGGGGGTGGGGGGGGGGGGCTTTACATATAGAGGGTAATAATTCATTAAAACTGTTAGTTACGGATCAGAAGATAATATGGTTATGTCTCAGGCACACCAACACACTGAAATAGGCAAAAATTGGAAACGAGGATGCATAATAAAAACCCTAAGATTAGCGTTGATGTGAGGCGCCAAAGGTGCTGGACTGGGTTGCATATAAAATATCGATAAAATTGGCACAAAGTTAACATTTTTTTTAGGAGGTAACAAGGTGAAACAACGCGAAGATGGTGCTAAAGATTCACCAGAACCAGACGATCTTAAGCATAACTTAAAATTGAAAAGAAAAACGCAAAATAAATGCTTTATCGTGTAATATTTGGCAGAGGAGGACTTATTTAAAATATATTCTCAGTGATAGAGAAAACGATTGTCTAAGCTGTAACTAACCTTCATTATTACAAGATCTGAACATCCTTTTCATATTGGTCAAATATTGTGGTTGGGTCGGTATGATGTCCTCTGTAATGATATCTGAAAATATACAAGGGAAATACCAAATACAAAAGCAAATATTTAAACCCGAACGAAAAGTATATCAGCGAGCTTCACCATGTAATAAACACAAACAAAACATAAACGTTGCTGCTATGGATCCTTCTTCAGCACATAAATAGACTAGACAATACTTCACAAATATACAATATCACTTATCTTCGTATCTCGTGACAGCAGGGTCGATGTCAAGACAATTGTCTGGCGTGGCACGTAGGGCCTAGAAAATTAATATCTGGGGATATGCCACAGGGCCGTTGCATGAGATGAAACTGTGCAGGCAATGCAACCCTCTAGGATTTAGGTGAAGCTGTGCATATAAGTTAATTACTATGGCCAAAAAATGCATGGAAGTTATTTATAATATAGTACCATGTAAAGGCAGAAAGTCAGACCTTTTTCAATTAACATCTGGTTAAAACAAGCTGATGCTCTGTCCCCACTTCTGTTCATCTTGGCTCTGGAGAAAATCACCAAAAAATTGAAACACGAGTGTACTATATGAGAAACTACGAAAATACTTGGTTATGCAGATGACTTTGATATTGTTGGAGAAAATTACCTAGAGACTATAAAAAATATTGACACTCTCTAAAAAAAGGAGCTCACAAAAAGATAACATAAAATATATGCTAATAACAAAACAGGGAAATAATATAAACTCGACCACATACAAGCCGATAATATGAAAATCAAACGAACGGAAACATAAAGGTACATGGGTGCAAACATCAACTGCTCCAACATGACGGAAAAATAAAAACAATCTAGAATACAATCTAGAAATAAAGTATACTATGCCCTTCAACATTGCTAAAGTCAAAGTCTCTGTCTCGCATCACTAAGGTCAAACTATACTAAACGTTGATAAGACCAGTCGTTTTATATGGCTCTAAAACTTGGAACACAAATAAAAGAGATAAAGGCTTATTACAGGTTTTCGAAAGCAGTCATATTAGGACAAATCTTTGGACCTATTAAAGATGCACACAGCGGGGAATGAAGAGTGAGAAGCAACAAAGAAATTCATAATCTATTTAAATATCCGCTGGGGTATATTGAGAGAATACCAGATGACAGATAGGTAAAACTGTATACAAAAGGGAGTCCACGAGACTGACCAAGAAGACGATGGGGAGATCATGTCCAGAGAGACCTGCAAACATTTGTTTTCACCAACTGGAAAGAAAAGACCAACCAGAGAGATGAATAGTGTCGGGTCATATCTGCAGCAATGAACCTCAAGGGCTCGGAAGGCTAAAGAAAAAGAAAAAAGATGAATAATAGTTGTGTTTACTTAAGTATCATTGCTATTAATATCAGTCATGCCCTGTATTTGAGTACAAATCCTAATCCCTTCCCCCAAAAATATGGTGCTTAAACAAGATTCAAAAGCAAAGACAGAATGACGCTGCAGGTCCCTGTAGAACAGTAGCTCTCAACCTTTCTAATGCCTCGATCCTTAATAAAGTTTCCTGATGTTGTGGCAATCCCGAAACATACAATCAGTTTCGCTACTACTTCATAACTTCAGTGAATGTGTCTTTTCCGATCATCTCATGCAACCGCTGCGAAATAGTTGCTCAACCCCCAAAAGAGTCGCGACCCAAAGGTTAAGAACTGCTCTCTAAAGGCCATAACTTTTGAGTCAGTGGTCGAATCACATCTTAGCACACACAGATTAGAAGATGACCAAAATGCACGTACCAGCGAAAAAGGAACGGGAGTGGGGTAAAAAAGGGGGAGGGATGTGTGAATCCATTCAAATAAAAATTAGATTCAACAAGATCATTAAAAAAAAATGTATTTGTTGTTATTAACAGGTCTCAATAATTACCTTTCATTATTAGCTTATTCTCGTCGGCCAAAGCTGATATAGGGGATAATATATTCCTTGCAATGGGCAAAGCAGCTTCTTTGAGAAAGCGCCCGCATGCGAACTGGTTGAAATCTTCGCAAGGGTCCACCGTGAAGTCCATCTTGTTGGCCATCATGCCGGCTGTAGACAGACCAATCCAAGTAAATAACGTGTAGGCTGTGTTACTGTTATCAGTTGGGGCCGAGTTTCCCTACTGATGATAGTTAACTATGGCATGTTTCTCCACATTTAGACTAATAGGATTTTGTTACATCGGCAGGCTTCTGAGAAAAGTTAAGGGCTCGACAATATAAACCGCAGATCTAATTAGGAGTGCTTTTCAGTTGTTGCCAACTTGGTTTATGGTGTCTAATACAGATTGAGAAAATGGCGAGCGGTCTACTCTCAGAGAGCTTCCGGTAACTCATGCGCATGATTGCGCGTGCCACTACTGATTTGTTGTAACCGCTACTTCCAACGACGACGATCTGCATCTTCACAGTCCGACAATTAAGTAATGAGACTAATTCCATAAGAATTAAAATAATGAACAGCTAAAGATATAACCTGTATTTTATGCAAAGTAAGCCCCTTGTACATTGATACGGCAAGTGGCACGATCTAACAAACACTGTAACAACCTATGTAATTCTTTTGTTGTTATGGCCCTTAAAGTTGATGTTACGGCCCTTTGGATGTCATCAATATCGTCAAAGAAGCGTACTTTCAATGGTAACTTGAATTTTGAGAATATAAAATAATCACAAGGAGACAAATCTGGGTATAGGGTGGATGGTTGAGAACACACCCTTGCTTTTGGGCCAAAAATTTATGTACAACTATCGCTCTTTTAGCAGGTGCATTGTCACGAAGAAGAAACAAGTTGCCAGGTGTTGAATACAATCCGGCAAGCAACTTTTTTTGTAAAAAAAAAATCTGCCACTAAAATTTCACGAATAGTCTCTGTATTAACACCAAATTCATCTACCATCATGCTCACAGTCAAACAACGATCTTCTTGTATCCGTTCATTACGAACAGAAATTGTGCGTCCAGATCTTGATTCACTAGTAATCATTTCCACTCAACTTTTGAATCGTGAATACCAGCTGAAAATCTGACAAACACGTTATTCCCCATAAACTTGTTGCATTCAGTTCAATGTTGCAATGGCGCTTTTTATGAGTTTTAAGCAGAATTTAGTGTTTACGTTTTTGTTCCATGCTGATTACGTAGCAATGCACCTCTGACTAGGTTAACAAAACAGCACCTTGTTTGTTGTCTGCTTATCTGGCGGCGATATAAAGTTGCCAGATCATAGACGAAGGTTGCCTCTCTGGATTCCATTCTGTAATTCATAGATGGTATTTTTTGTCCTAGCCATTACCTTATTGTCAGACATTGTATAGTGTCAGATAGTTGTCGGTGGCACTTCCGACCACTGCCATGTGCATTTAATACTCGTGTATTCTACTGGAATTGCGAAGACAGAAATCTGTGTCAAATAACTCTCCCCCACCCCAGGGGCAGTGATGTACATTCTTGGTGCGTTTCGTTAGCACAGTAACCGAGCAGCTATAGGCGACCTGTTTTCATATGAAGTCAGAACTGTGATTCACTGATAACCTTTTTCTGGTCCTTCAGTCCTACTGATAATATAGTCAGTGTCAGAAGTATGTGACCAATCTTCCTGTTTTTAGGAATATTGAGCATATAGATGAAGATGATGATGATACCGGTGCTGATGGTGATGATGGCGATGATGTTGATGACTAGTCAATGTTAATAATCTTTCCACAAAAACCATAGTCAAGGCATTTCTCACCTGCAATGACGCAGTCGGGAGTGTAGCATACTTTCTTGTCAGACACTGATGAAACATAGACAGGAACAAAGTAAGTTCAAAAATGAACATGTTTTGACAGTGACAAAACATAGATTTAGAACTAATGTGTTCAAAAATGAACATGTTTTGACAGTAATAAAACATAGCTTTAGACCTGATGTGTTCAAACATGGACATGTTTTGACAATGATAAAACAAACAAATGTTGATGGTGTGATCAAACTTGAACACGTTTTTACAATTCTATAGGAAAGACAAAGACATGGTACGTTCAAACATGGACATATTGCGGCAATGATTATTTAAAACAAAATGGCAATGACAAAACACAGACAGAGATATGGTGTATTAAAACATGGACAAGTTTTGCTAATGCTAATACGAACATTTACTTGATGTTGAAACACATCCGTTATTTTTCAACTGTAAGCTTCATATCATAAGCCATTGAAATATAGGGTACAGGAAACAGAATTATTAGATTTGTCTGTTCTTCTTCTTTCTTTCTTTCTTACTTTCTTCTTTTCTTTCTTCTTCTTCGTCAACACCAAGCCGGTCACGAGTGTCTCCACGGCTACTCCCGATATAAAATATATCTTTTTCTTCTTCTTTGCCTTCGGTTTCGTATGCTCAGGTCAGACCATCAGGTGGGTTGCCTTCTATGAACTCGCAGGTCAGCCATGGTTGCCCATAGCTTGCTCTGCACACCATCTCTTGAGGCCAGGTGTCTTTTCGAAGTTGTAGGTAGAGTGGGCAGAATTGCAGAATGTGTTCAGGTGTTTGTGGTACTGTCTGACGTACACTCTGTGGACTTTCCGTTCTCTTTTTTTTTTTTTATGCATGTGGTAGTTGAGCCTGCAGTGTTCTGTTCTTACAGGGAAAATTGTTGTTTGTTGCTTTCTGTTGAGTCTGCTAATGGGGTCTTGTGGATGTTTACTGTTAGTTTGTTCTCTCCACAATCACGTGTAATTTCCCTTTGATAAGGCTTTTGGTTTCTGGGAATGACAATGAATGGGTGTGTTGTTTATCCTTTGTTCGGTTTTTTACAAGTCTGTGTGCTAACTCATTTCCTGGTCTGCCGCAGTGAGCCGGGATGTACTGGAGAACGATTTGATTGATTTCTAAGAGTCTGTTATAGCTGGCGGGTCAGTTCTCTCTCCATGTTGTCTCGTGAATCCCTTCAAGTTTCTTGGAAAATTGACATGCAGTCACACAGGAAAACAGTGTTGCTGTCTTTGATACCCCCCCCCCCCCCCCCCCCCCCCCCCCTTTTAAGCACTTTGGTTGAATCAATATTTGCTTGTTGCTCTGCTATAAAGTGTGTATGAGTGTCCATTTGAGTTTTGGGTAAGAGTTTTAGACAAGTTCTACGGTCTTGGCGTGCAAAACCTGTTCAGATTCTTCAGCCTTTTTGTCTATGCCTGTTGTTGTTGTTGTGATTGTATAGTTAGGCTGTAGGTCTATGTTGTATGCCTGCATCATTTTCCACGTTAAAGGGTGTTTACAAGGAATGTTTCTGGTGCAGAACATTTTTGATAGATAGTGAAAGCGTTGTCTTTTCAGTCGGTTTTTAGGTAAGTTGTTTGCACTTCAGTGCATGGGGTTGTTTGTTCATGCGTTTACATTTTTCTATTAGGATAAGCACCTTTTCTGCCCTTCGAATGCTCGAGTTCTTGAGGCCAGTAGTTTCCTTCAACCCATTTATTGGTATGCTTCTCATACCTCCTGAAACCAGTTTTTGTATTTTGTCCAGATTGTTCAGATTTGATTTGGTTGCAATAGAGTATGCTCCCATGCTATAGTCCAGTTGTGGTAGTACGCGTCCTGTGTTGTGTATACTTGGCTTTCTGTGTTGGCATCTACATCCCAGCTTGTTCCAGTGAGGTTTTCATAGGTCTGAGCTGCAGGGTAGCTTTTCTTTTTGTGTGGATGTTTTTATGTGAGAATAAAAGTACAAAAATTTAAGTATCTGGGCACATGGATAACATCAGATGAAGATGCATAACTGAGATAAGAAACAGAATAGGACAGGCAAAAACTGCATTTTATATAATAAAAAACATCTTGTGCGATATATATTTGTCATTGAGAGTTAGAAAAAGAATTCTTGCTTGCTACATACATCCAGTTTTAACATATGGCTGTGAATCCTAAACAATAGGTAGGCAGGTCAAACAATTCCTGGAGGCCTCGGAGATGTGGTTTTACAGAAGAATGCTTAGAATACCTTAGACAGCCAAAAAGAGAAACCAAGAGGTTTCGAAAGAGGCGGGAGCCCGAGGACAACTTATCACAGACAACAGAAGGAGACAGCATTTTTCGGCCATGTTATGAGAAGAGGGAAAATAAAACATGTTGTGACCACTGGAAAGATATGTAGAAGGAGAGATAGAGGAAGGCAACGAGAGAAGATGCTTGACAGTCTTGTTGCATGGCATGGAGGTGTGTCGGCACACGAACTGATACATGCTGCAGGAGATCGCAGATTATGGAGAGGCATGATCGCCCACGCCAGTCGGCAAGGCACCTGATGATAAAAAGGCGGATGTCACCAGACAGTATAACACAGCAAGCCATGATGTGCAGACCAGTCGTAAAGCAAATAAGAGGCAGATCGTGCAGTCGATAGATAGACAAGGGTAATTATAGAGTACCTGAGAATCCAAATTTACGAAGCACACAAACGGGCTCTTTCTCGTAAATAATACTACACCTCGACACCGCAAGCTACATGAGGATCAAGATGAGATGAGATACAGAAGTAATTGAAGACAATTGTGATGAAAGTAGGTACTAAAATAATTACAAGCTCAGTACACACTTATGAACTGCATTCAGCACTTATTACCTCCCAAAAGTAACAGAAGACCGAATTATATCTTCTTTCCATGTTAAACTGGGAATCGGAAGTACGACCTGTTTGCTTACCACCCTTCCACCCCCCCCCCCCCCCCCCCCCCCCCCACCCCCACCCCCCCAAATCCCCTTTTCTTCAAATAATTAGATGGTTAAAAATGTAAAAATAGCAACCGTGACATTAAAAAAATAAAAAACACTGAAGAACGGGAATGAAGAAGGAAATATGCACCATACTCATCAGTGATGCCCTTGTTCTCACCTTCATGATTGTCCTTTGTGACCTTAGTCTCATCGACATACTTGGTGTAGTAGACAGCGAAAAGAACAACAAAGATGACGGTTGTTACGAAGAACACAGTTGCCAAGATACTGATCAGCGTGTACACTCTAGACTTGGATGAAGTCTTGTCAGTAAACCTAGAGTATGTATATATATATATATATATTAAAAAAACTATTTTGAAACACAATATTGATACCTATGCTGTATTGTCAGGTCAGTCATGAACCCTGTCTTCAGAGAACAGATAAAAAAATAGTTACAACCAATATGAAATCTACACGTGCTGTGCAAGGCGTAATGAGGAAAGATTCACTTCGGCACGATAACATCAGGAAAAAAGTCAGCACATAACCAATACTGAACTATGTCGGTAGACGACGGATCAAAATTGTGTTGGCCATGTTCACGACTGTCAACAGACAGCAGGACAGAGAGCAATTGTATGCAGGTGCCGCCTCAACTATCTGTATATCTACCTATCCATTAAACCGTTCATTTGTCTGTGTGTCTATCTATCTATCTATCTATCTATCTATCTATCTATCTATCTATCTATCTATCTATCTATCTATCTATCTATCTATCTATCTATCTATCTATCTATCTATCTATCTATCTATCTATCTATCTATCTATCTATCTATCTATCTATCTATCTATCTATCTATATCTATCTATCTATCTATCGATCTATCTATCTATCTATCTATCTATCTATCTATATCTATCTAATCTATCTATCTATTCTTGCCATACTGGCCTATACTCTATCTCTCTATCTAATATCTATCTCTCTATCTATTTATCTCTATCTATCTATCTATCTATAACTAATCTATCTATCTATCTATATATCTATCTATCTATCTATCTATCTATCTATCTATCTATCTATCTATCTATCTATCTATCTATCTATCTATCGTTCTATCTATTTATCTATCTATCTATCTATCTATCTATCTATCGCCATGTATTGAAATGGAACAGTGCTATCATCTATCACCAGACTGGTCTATCTATCTATCTATCTATCTATCTATCTATCTATCTATCTAATCTATCTAATCTATCTATCGTATCTATCTATCTATCTATCTATCTATCTATCTATCTATCTATCTATCTATCTATCTCTTCTCTATATCTATCTATCTATCTATCTATCTATCTATCTATCTAAGCTAGTAATCTAATCTATCTAATATAGAGTTATCTCTCTATCTAATCTATCTCTCTATCTAATCTATCTCTCTATCTAATCCATCTCTCTATCTAATCCATCTCTCTATCTAATCCATCTCTATCTAATCCATCTCTCTCTCAATCCATCTCTCTCTCAATCCATCTCTCTCTCAATCCATCTCTCTCTCTATCTCTCTATCTATCTATCTATCTATCTATCTATCTATCTATCTATCTATCTATCTATCTATCTATCTATCTATCTATCTCTCTATCTATCTATTTCTCTATCTATCTATCTATCTATCCATCTATCTATCTATCTATCTATCTATCTATCTATCTATCTATCTATCTATCTATCTATCTATCTATCTATCTATCTATCTATCTATCTATCTATCTATCTATCTATCTATCTATCTATCTATCTATCTATCTATCTATCTATCTATCTATCTATCTATCTATCTATCTATCTATCTATCTATCTATCTATCTATCTATCTATCTATCTATCTATCTATCTATCTATCTATCTATCTATCTCTCTTATCTATATATCTATATATCCGTTTGTTCGTTCGTTCTGTCTGTCTATCTGTCTGTATAGATAGACTCGAGACAGACATCAAGTTACAATACACAGTGAAAGATATTTATTACGGAAACACCACAAGATTCACAAGATGATATAATCAGGCTACACAAAGACACACAACACACAAAATATCAAGACAGCATACTCACGTGACACTGTGCGGGGCAGGATTTGAACTATCATCCATCCCCGGTGGACTACTGTCTGTCATCGTGGCTGTCTAAAATGGTCAAGATTGCTAATAAAACCAAACAGAATGGACAATGAATATTGTTTGCAGAAATTATATACAGACAATCAAAACTGTTTCGACCTTCTAAACCAGTGATGTCCAAAGTTTTTTTCCGGTGGCGCCCTCCTTGAGAATGTATCAAGACATCCAAGCACCCCCTTCCGCTATTTTAAGTGTACAGCAAAACATCTTTCCCTTTTTCCAATGACAAAATTGAATCTAAAAGAGAATAAATGTGTACCTATTCAATGCAGGTCTTATCATATTCAATTAGATTTTGAACATTCGATGCACAAAATGTTCATGAAAACATTAACGTCCTTGCCATTTTGTTTCATTTTAAAATAATGTTCTATTTATTTCTTATTCTTTTGTCGTCCCACTAATACCAGGTTGTAGCCCAGAGTCGTGGTTTTGTCGTCTCACTGATACCAGGTTTTAGCCCAGCGTCGTGGTTTTGTCATCTCCCTGATACCAGGTTTTAGCCCAGCGTCGTGGTTTTGTCATCTCCCTGATACCAGGTTTTAGCCCAGTGTCGTGGTTTTGTCGTCTCATGATACCAGGTTTTAGCACAGCGTCGTGGTTTTGTCGTCTCCCTGATACCAGGTTTTAGCCCAGCGTCGTGGTTTTGTCATCTCCCTGATACCAGGTTTTAGCCCAGCGTCGTTTTGTCATCTCCCTGATACCAGGTTTTAGCCCAGCGTCGTGGTTTTGTCATCTCCCTGATACCAGGTTTTAGCCCAGCGTCGTGGTTTTGTCGTCTCACTGATACCAGATTTTAAATTATGACCTAGTTGGTGCCCGTCTCCTTCGAGGCGAGCCATTGCCCCGTTACCCTGAAACCTCACGGCTTCAGTTTTCCGGCGTGCACGACGAGGAAGTGCGGTTGACCCGGGTGTTTGACAGTCAACTAATAAAACGGATTATTACACGTACACGTCTGGCTCTCTAGCGTAGTTGGCTAAACCGGATTGCGCGGAGACCGGTGACGAACTCCTTGTGGTCCGGGTTCAATCCTGGGGATAGGCAGGAAAGCCACATTTCTCCCAGATTTACGGTATTTACAATGGAATCAAGGCCGAAAGGTTGTGATATCCATAATACCGAGCCTAAGAGTTAACAACTCATGGCTTCTGGGTTATAAAAAAAAAAAAAAGGAATTACATGTACACATAAACTCATCTTAAAACACATTTGGACACCCTCGTTAGATCTCGCTTACGCCCCCCCCCCCCTTTTTCCAGGGTTGAGCCTCTGGCAAAGAGCTCTTATAGTCCCAATTTGGAAAAGAAAAGGCAATAAGCAAGATTGTAACAATTACAGAGGCATCTCCCTTCTAAGCCACGTAGGAAAAATGTTTGCCAAAATTCTGGAACAACGAATTAGATCCGTTGTAGAACCGATCCTGAGCCCATCACAGGTCGGATTTAGGAAAGGAAGAGGGTGTACTGACGCTATTTTTGCTTTAAGACAAGTTAGCGAAAAGACAATAGAACACAGACATCAAATGAACATCGCTTTCATAGATCAAGAAAAAGCTTTCGATAGAGTAAACAGAAATTTATTATGGAAAGTTCTTGAAAACTACGGTATAAATGGAACAATTTTAGATTGTGTTAGGGCTATTTATAGACAAAGTGAAAGCGCCATTAGAACAAGAGCTGGCATCACAGACTGGTTCCCAGTAACATCAGGAGTAAGACAAGGTTGTGTATTATCACCTTTACTTTTCGTAATATTTATGGACAATATTAATAAAATAGACATAACACCAACAGATGTCGATAAACAGGAGGACTTCAATGAGCTGCTCTTTGCCGACGATCAATGCATATTTCACAGTGATAGTAAACAGCTGCAAGACCACATGAACCTACTACACGATAGTTGCCTCAAGCATCATATGAAGATTAATACTGAAAAGACAGAAGTCATGAGCATAAGTAGAGAGCAACAGACCATCGACATAAAGATTCTAGATCACAGCCTAAAACAAGTGCAAGAATTTAAATACCTGGGAAGTATCTTTACATCCAATGGTAAAATAGACAGAGAGATTGAAGCAAGAATCCAACAAGCCAACAATGTCGCATACCAGCTTGCCCCAATTTTAAAACACCCCCTGCTGTCCCAGCTGAGATAAAAAGACAAATTATAAATACAATCTTTATACCGACATTAGGTTATCAATGTCAGACTTGGACATTAACAAAAGAACATGAGAGAAGACTAACCACCTGTGAAATGAGATGTTTGAGAATGGCTGCGAATAAAACCAGAAGAGATCGAGTGAGAAACGATGTGATTACAAGAACTATTGGAACCATACCCATCGTTAAATTTATTGAGAAGCAAAGAATGAAATGGTTTGGTCACCTAATGAGAATGGAATCAACGATGCCAGCATCAAGAGCATACAACATGAAAATCGAAACAACAAGAGGCAGGGGAAGACCAAGAAGAAGATGGATTGAAGGAGTCACGGACAACTTGAGACTTCATAACATCACGGCATATGAAGCGACTGAGCGCGCCCTGGCTCGGTTGCCGATTATCTGATAGACTGCGACGCCTAGCGGCACAAGCAGATTTTGACAAAAAAGAAGAGCCTCTATTCTAAATTCAGAAGAAAGGCAAGAAGGACATATAATTCAACTGCTACTATAACCATCAGCACTGGGACTAACAGTAGCTGCTGAAGATGAGGACTGAGCCCTTATGGGGATGTTCCGATTGCTTTTGTGTCAAATCCTAACAACTAAACCGAACATTCTTTTATCACGCTTTGTTTAGAAAAGTTAGCGACAACCAGAAAATTTTACGAGATGAGAACAAGGGGAAAATAAAGTTAAAGGTTCATGTTGCTTGGTCATGTAATCTAATTGGCTTGAGAAAATATGCCCGATCCAAAGTTCAAGTTATTGCGTCAGAAAGCGAAACATGGCAGCGCAATATTGTGTTCCTAATTGCTTGTGATACGATACGTAGCAGATAGAACGAATAAATGTTGTCTGGATTTTGTAAGATGTTTAGTTTGAACTAAAATCACATTAACTTTTTAAATCTGTTTGTTTTCCTCTAGCCATCTTTTTTTTTTCCACCCAGCGTGTCGTCTTTGCCAGAAAATTTTGTTGTTGGAAATTTACATATGTCCAGTTTTGAAGTAATTAACATAAATATGCTTGCTCTGTCGGCTAGCTAAGTTAATTAAAAAGTTGCGCGGTAATCGGGTGACAAACTCCTTGATAGGCAGAAAAGTCAAATATTTCCCAGATGTATCTTTGATAGAATCAAGGCCGAAGGGTTTCGATATCTATAGTACCGAACCGACTACGTGAAGGTGACCCCTGCCCACTCCTGTGACGAAATATTGATCAGGAGAGTATGCCAAAAGGAAGAATTCCAGATACCCGGGTTAACCCATTAAGAAATAATACCTAGGACACCTGTCTGACGTGACCAACGGGTACGGACGGTCATAATTGTATACCTAATTACCGAACCGTGTGTGTGTGTGCTCGCGTGTGTGTATGTACCTGTTTGAGTGCTCGCGTGTGTGTATGTGCGCGTGTGAGTGTGTTTAACTATTTAAGTGTTGCTTAGAATATTAAATCACGAAGCTGAAAACTAAGAATTCGACCGAATTTCGTGTCACGTTACCTAGTGTAGTATAAGACTTTTATTAGGAATACCTGAAGCTTTGCCGAAACGCTCGAATTAGATGATCAAGGATTGGTAGGTGATACTCTGTCCGTTCTGAATACACAGGTAGGGAGCAGACAAACTTCCACAGACAATCGAGTGCAGAATAAATCAGGACACGGCTGAGTCGGTTCTTTATATAAGTGCCTACATGATCATTGTTTGTTTCGTAAACGATTCTCAGTTTGTATTTTAACAATCCCGAAGTCAACTGTTAGACATGTGAATGTCTCTATGTTTGATAATTTATCTGCTAGAAAGTTAACATTATGGTTTTTTTCTAATTCAAAAGAGATGGGGCGAAACTAAAGGGCTAAGCTTATGACCCAGTGTGAAATATTTCCTTTTAAAATTAAATAGAAACGTATGAAACGTTTACTTATCAAACTTATGCGTTTCATAAATGTATACATGTTTTAGATTTCATCAAATGAAAAAAAAAAACTTGCCTACCACATAGTTAGTATTCTTTTCCGGTATTCACATGTGTCTTAGAGCTTCAACTGGCCAGACGGACATTTGGACTTTTCTTGTAGTGACCTCACTCAAGTGAAGTATAACATTATCTGTTTATTATGTGCTGATAAATGCTTTCGATCTGCTACGTTCACTCAACATTTGCGAGTTATTATGTGAAGCTGACTACAGTGGTACCACGGTATACATCGGCATATACATACTGCAGCATGAATATGAAATTTTGAGAAGGGCTGCAGCGGTGATAAGAACAGATCAAATCAGGAATGAGGTCATAAGAGAACATATCGGCACAGATACAATTCTATATTATATACAAAGATATTCAATAAAATGGTCTGTCAGTTTAAAGAGAATGCCTTGTGGCGCTATGCCATACAAGGCATACACCAAATAAGAAGAAAGACATAGATTGCAAGGTAGACCAATATCGAGATGGAAAGAAAACATCAGAGAACGTATCATATCGTATAAAATCAAACAAAAATTCCAAGCTTAGTCATTTTTTAGCCGCCTGATGGCCTGCTTTATCAAGGACGGTTCCTTTGCTATCTTATTTTATTTATCTTTCTTTGTGGTGAGCAATTACACCTGAGTTTGTTCATTTGTTGCCTAAGTTCTGGTTTTGATGGGTCCTGTTTCCTGTTTTAGTTGGCTATCCGCTAGCTGTTGCACTGTTCATCTGTGCTAGTACCAAGTCAGTCCTCAGCCACACCACCGCGAAACAGAAAGACATACTTGTCCGAAGCCGACTCCCACCGATCCACACAGCACTTCCTCTTGGGACTACTCAGTGCTCA